ACAGCTACATCGATCACCACCATTATTTCTTAATACACATGTAATTATTATATTTAAAGAATTTATAGGCTGGACAAACGAAGGATTTCTTAGAAAGAGCTTTAGGATCTTCTTTGTTAATAACAAAATGGCTCTGTTGGAGTAATTGTCGCGGGCATATTATTAAAAAATACGTTACGTAAATTGTATAAAATATATCGCGTACAAAGAAACATTATTCTAAAGCACTTTTCGGTAAAAAATTTGATAAATAAGCAAAGAATGATTTCTTACACGTAAGATGAAACAAAATTTTGGAAAGTTCTCGATACAAGCAAAGCCTTCGAACGTTGAGAAGAGTTAACGGCCGTACAAATATCCTCGATAGTTCACCGAGAATATCTCTCTGTCAACCATTTCCATGGCAGAAACAAATAGCAAGCGGGTTATAGTATTTTATTTCTCAGTAAACAAAGAAGCAAACGTCCACCGGCTTCTATTCTCTCGTAAACAAACGAAACAACTGTTAGATTGTACGAATCACGCGAAGCCGTTTCGTCCGCCTTTTATCTTGTTATGTTTCTCGCAACTGGGGAATTAGAAGTCACCTCGCGGTTAATAGTACCTTCTCCCGATCGAGATGAACAATCCGCGTTTCGAGGAAACGGCAGAAAGTGGATTAATCGCCAGAAATTCCTACGGTTGCGAGCGGCGAACAAGAAGAAGGCCGACGGCACTGAGGGCCCCATTTTCCTGCGAGCCAATTCGAGATATCGAGAGCGAGAGGCCGAGTAGATAGCCACGCTCAACGATTAAAAGTGTGTTAACCCTGCGGATAAACGTATTTTTACCATAAACGTTAGACGATGTAGTTTCCAATCGTCGAAACACAAAATTTCAGTCTTGTACAGAAATATACAGGGTGTCCGAAAAGTCGGGGAGGAGCCGGAAATGGGGGGTAGCTGAGACGATTCCGAACAACAATTTCCTTTGCGAAAATGTCGGATGGGGCTTCGTTAAGGAGATATTAAGAGAAAATGTAGTCTCCAATCGTCGAAACACAAAATTTCAGTCTTGTAGAAAAAATATACAGGGTGTCCGAAAAGTCGGGGAGGAGCCGGAAATGGGGGGTAGCTGAGACGATTCCGAACAACAATTTCCTTTGCGAAAATGTCGGATGGGGCTTCGTTAAGGAGATATTAAGAGAAAACCCCGACCAATCAGAGCGCGCGTAGACCGTTGGAGCGGCCGCGGTAGCGAAGGCTATGCGCTAGGCGGCAGCGCTTGTACGCGAACAAGTGACTCGACGTGCATCGAAGCATCGACCTAGCGCGTAGCCTTCGCTACCGCGGCCGCTCCAACGGTCTACGCGCGCTCTGATTGGTCGGGGTTTTCTCTTAATATCTCCTTAACGAAGCCCCATTCGACATTTTTGCAAAGGAAATTGTTGTTCGGAATCGTCTCAGCTACCCCCCATTTCCGGCTCCTCCCCGACTTTTCGGACACCCTGTATACTGGCTCTGGCTATCCCTGGAATTAGGACCTCTTACAATTTTTAATGTTTTTCGTGTTTTTAGTCAAGTTGAAAGGTGCGAACGAACTAATGCTCTCTTCGAGAATAGATACCGAACCCTATTCAATTCTGGTTTTGAGAACGATTAGAAACGTCTTCATTTAGATTTATCTTGCTGGCGGAGCTTAATACAACAACGCCAGGGTATCCAACTACGTATCAGTCTATTTCTCATCGAAAGCGAGCCTTTGCATTGTCTGACCCTCTAATCGAACACCTAACCCTCTCTTTGTTATTCAACTTCAGTTTTAATCGTTAAAGAACAACTCCACTCGGCTCTTTTTCACCGATGACGCTTAATACAACAACACCAAGGGCGTTTAATCCTTATATCACTCTGACAGAGAACGCGTTAAAGGGAAGTCGCGACGGGAATCGATCCGATGTTTCGTAAGCGTCGCCAGCGTCGCACGAATCGTCGGTTTGCCTTTGAAGCGACGATTCTCGAGAAGGCGACGCAGATCCGCGACATGACACGGCCATACATCCTCGCACGGTACGTAGGAAGACAGGAAAGGTCACGGCTCTGACCCATTTCGACGTTTTATCGGCCTACCGCGCGAGTAAAGTTCGCCTCGCGGTCCGCGATTGGCCCAGGCTTCGAAGAAACATGATTACGTACGCGACTTCCGTTTTCTCGCGTTGTTTTTCCAACGATCCACGGATTTCACGCCGTGCCCGCTTGTTTTCTTCGCCGCGCTATCGAAATCCGAGAGACCGAATAAAACTGTTCACGGAGAACGGGCCCAATTGACAATCACCGACTTCTATCACGCTTGCATTCAACAAGATCGAATAAAAATAAATATATTTTATTTTTAATAAATATATTTTATTTTTATTCGTTGATGTTCTTGTACAGGGAGAGGTAGTCGTTCGTTTCTTGTCGTTATGTGGACAAAGAAGTTAGAGAAATTTGGTAGGTATGTTCGGTAGACCGAGCAATTTTTAAATTATATAAACTTGAACTTGAAGTTGAGGAAATATCGTAGAAGTCTGTCTTTCTGTATTTTAGATTATTTATTTTTGATGTTCACTGTATTGATATTTGTCGAGCCTGGCAGTTCTCTAGCGGTTCTTAGAAAAATTGCTGCGAAGAAGACCTTTGCCTATTTAAGTTGAGCATCCCTAGAAACTAATGGGAACAATTGTTGAACGTGAAAATAGATTAACAACCGTAAGGTCTGAACACGTGATCGACGTGCCAAACACCTGATTGATTGTGAAAGCAAGCTATTTTCATATTCAACGTTCCTTCCTATCTTTTCTCCTATTCTTGAGATGTTTAAACAAACATCGGAACAACATGGAACATTGTCTACCATTTGGTGGATAATTTTCACCCCTGAGACGTAAGTATGGCATTGAACGTTGGTATCTTGTTAGACTTGTTGAGCTGTACAGATATCCCTGGCAAGGAACGTGTGAACGTGATCGAACGATCCTCTCCTGCATGACACTCCGAACATCGACGAGAATGAGTCACAACGAAATTTTATACCGGCCGGCGATTTGCCAAACAACGAATCGACGCTTTGTTAGCGACTTTGTCCTCGGTCAGACATTACTTCCGTTCGATTTTGCGCAACTGTTCGACCGCAAGTATGAGATAAGTTCTGATTCGAACAATAGGTGAGGAATTCGAACAGAACATACCGATTTATTAGCTAGTTTCATTTGAGTAAAGAGTTGCGAGGATCTCCAGACTCGTTGATATTCTTTTGTATTTATATCGCCATAGCTTAGTGAAAAAAATATAAAAATATTTAAGCTGTTGCTAGATGACTATGTATTTATGCTAGCGTTACGTATATGTATAGGGGAAGAGGGCGGAGGGTTAAAGGGAAAATTTTGTAACACACAGACGCGTGGATAAATTTATTCTTATTTAACGAATAATAGATTTTAGATTGCGCGCCTTTGATTCATATTGAAAATTTGATTTAGACAACAGTTTTATACTCGATCGTCGATGTTAGTCGCCAGAGAAAATTTGTCTGTTGGAGGATGACCGTGAGACGCATTTCTGGCTCTCTAGGAGTCGTATCGTTTGTATCGATTGCTCGTTAGCACGGTGTGAGTTCGTATCACCGTGGCCACGGTGTTTCAGTCGCAGCCCGCATCGAGGAAAATTTAAGTAATTTATAGCGAATCTTGTCGATCTAATAAAAGTGACTATAATTCGATAATCTTAAATCTCACCTCCATTAACGTCTCGGTCGTTCAGTTCGTGACCATCTTTAGAAATGCGAACATATAATAAATATTAAACTTTGCAGATCAATCTACGTGAAGAGTTTTCCAAACGGTGTTTCAGAATTGTTTTCAATCAAACACAAATAGTAGAACGTACATATTTGTCTTGAAAAAGGAAATCCTACATTCCCTTTTAGAAAAGCCTTCATGAGTATTACTTCGAATGGTTATACAAAATACCCATCGAAGCAATAATTTTCCACTACTATTTTTCTTGCCGTACGATAATCTTCTGCTTGCTGTAATCTTTAGAAATCGCTGTACGCGCGATCGATATTTTTCTCATCGTTTACTTCTCGAAGTAGGCCTCGCGTACTTCCCCGTTGTATATTTACGAACGTCCACCGACCGACGTTTAGACTGTGCAGTGGCTCTATCTTCAATTAGGCTCCTTCGCGAAGATATTCGAGCCTCGAGCCTTACATCTACCGTATCTTTGATCGTGCTACGCATCGTGGTTCGATAACTTTCAAATGTTAAACGGCGACGAAGAACATCGCCTAATTACGAATCATTCATTTTCAGAACACAGTCTTGGTAAATAGACGGAAGAGGAACAAAATACAAAAAAAAAAAAAAAAAAAAACAAAAAAATTGAAATAAAAGTAGCAAAGTAGAAGTAATTAAGACGTACACCTCGTCCCGTGAAAAGGCTAAAATTATAAGAATGTTATTAATCCTATTCGTTCGACACGCACGAAAAAGATTTCGTGCACACCAATACACAAAAAACATAAAAGCGACGAACCCGTAATCCTTTCGACCTTGGCGGAACACACGTGTCCCAGTGAACACAACTGATTGTCTTTGGCCAAATTACGATTGAGACTCGCAGCAACATACAGAAAAATAAAAAAAAAAAAATGAACATCTATCGAGCGTCGGTAAAATCGTCCCTTCTTATCCGAATACGATTTTTAATCGACAGCCAACCCTGGTTCAACACGATTAATCTCCGAAAGAGAAACGAAATATCGTTTAAACAGAAACCAGCCCGGTCGAAAGGGTTAACCGAGAACAAATTTCGCACCTCCAAAACGCGAGCGTGTCCGCGGGAGATGCACGCGCAGCCACGGTGGGCTGTTATCGCCGCGCGAACAACTGATAGAGGAAGGGAGAGGAAGGGAGAGGAAGGGAGAGAGGGGCAAAAAAAAGGCGACAAATAACGTTGCACGTGCGGCTCGTGTTTCAGGTTGCAGCGAGGACGAGGCAGCAGGTGTCGTGAAAGTGGAGGTGGGCGTAGATTGCGCGGCCTGGTCGCCAACCACAGGAAGTGCCGCTGGAGGTGGTAGCGGGCCAGGTAGCGAAACGAGTGGTGGCGGCGGCGGTGGTGGTGGTGGTGGTGGTGGTGGTGGTGGAGGAGGAGGTGGTGGAGGAGGAGGAGGTGGTGGTGGTGGAACAGGAGGGGTTGGTGGCCGCAGTGGCGTCGGCGAGGGCGGATCGACGAAACAGGGTGGCAAGAGGTGTCCCCAGTGCGGCATCCTCTGTTGGGACGTCCACATCCTTCAGCTCCATCTCGAGGACACGCACAAGACCACCTACGCCATCGACAAGAACGATCTCAACGCTCAATTGTCCCAAGTGGTGAGTGAAACTAACGTCAAGGACGAGAGGACTCCATTGTTCCCTGTGTGTATTATCGATCATGCGCGACCGGTCTGCGGATTCTCCACCCCCGTGTTCTCGCTCCGTTCTCTCTTGATGTCGCTCTTTCGTTATTCTTTTTTTTTTTTTTCTTTCTTTCTTTACTTTTGTTTTTTAGTCTCTTGGTTCGGTCGAACGGGACTCGGGTGGGGGATGGTCTTGATACGGGATCGTATTTTCTCGTGAACTTGACTGCGTAGAGTTTCTTTAGGGGCGGGATTGGTGACGGATAAGCGTTCGGTGGTTGTTAACTCGCGTTGGTTTAGGGATTCGAGGGACGATTTTGGTCGTTTCTCGGCTGATTAAGGAACTCGTTGCTTCGATGAGAATTGTTTTGTTTACGGTTTTTTGGGGGTTCTAAGCTGTGACGACGGTCGGAGTTTTGAATGTAGCTGTTTCTTTGTTGATCGACGTATTTATATTGTAACTTCGGTTTGCGTATCGCGAAGGTTCGATTAGAGCCAGTTTTGAGAATTAATGTAAATTGTGTTCCAAAATGTGACTATTTTCCAGCGATCAGAGTAGCGAAGTAGACGCGTAAACTCTTCAAAACCCCGACTAGTCAACTCCATTTTATCCGACTTACTAAATTTGTATGAAATTATAAAAAATCAATGGATATTTTTACACGATCAGAAATGCTTCTAGTATTCAAAACACAATTGACAGTAAAATAACCATGTAAGCCTTTTAAGTCACTGTTACTGTAAGTCAAATCAATCCGGTCTCTTTTCCTGAAAAATCGAATCAAATTAAAAAAAAAAGTCGATATCAAAACTGCCGATAGCACATACTCAAGATTAGCTTTATAGACGCACTCGTTTTATAATTCGATCAGAGGTTCCGTATCCTTGTCCATACTCCTCGTATTTACTGCATTTCTATTATTCGAGACGTAAGAGAAACGTTTAAAAACAACCACAAAACTACAGCATCGCTCGCGCAAAAGACATTCGTTGTTAAATTTAATTGAAACGTTATTGGCCGGCGCAATTACACGTGATACGAAACAGTTTACTCTAATGGCGGAGCACGCGATCGTTCTTCGGTTTCACTTTGAAATTCCAGCTTCCTTTTGTTGCTTTATCTGGTTCACGGCTACGCTGAAGCAAAAACACGTGCGCGCCTCGAATAAAGTAGACCGTGCTCGCGTTTTTTCCGCGCGGAAAGTGTGCTTTTTTAGAACGTAGCGCCTGGGGAACAAAGACGTTTCATGCGCTATACACAACGAACCGCGAACGCGACCAGATTGTCGTTCCAAAAATTTCCACCTGAATTATTCGTATTAAAAAAAAAAAAAAAGTAAACTTTCACATATACCACAAGTGCCTGTTTAAACTAGAGTTATAAATAATGAAATGTAAAGTAATAAGCGAACGTTGTTGGCTACTGAACTTCGTATGTATAGACACATTTCAATGACCGTCAGGTTGAAAGTTAGATCATGTATTCATATACAGATCATATACAGATCATATACAGATTCATTGTAACGGAAATTCTAAAAAATAATGAGCGAATTGAAATGTTAGAAGAGATCGAATGTAAAGGCACAGATTTCATTTCTATACATGATATTTACGAGAAAAACGCTGGCTCGTATTTCGATAAACACCTCGTACATACTCTGCCGAGATTACCGAACTATTACTTGGCGAACACCTCGACATTAATAGTTATAAATTTTGTTGCAGTCCTGCGGGGTGTGCAGCAAGACCTTTGCTAACGTCTACCGACTCCAGAGGCACATGATCAGCCATGATGAGAGTGCCCTGCTTCGTAAGTTTAAGTGTCCCCATTGCGAGAAAGCCTTCAAGTTTAAGCATCACCTCAAGGTACTACGAGTGCACCCTTATTTTTCATTTCTTCATTCGTACATCGTTTTATTTCCGTTGTTTGGTTTCGCGGTTTTTCCACGCAGCCTGACTCGATATATAGTTGTCTTGTAACCACTTGAATGTCTTGTCTCGAATAGAATTTACGTTCCTGTTTTGTTTAAAAAAAAAAAAAAAAAAAAAACAAAAAAAAACGTACACGCCCACGTAGAATGCATCGATATACTTGCACCTCCGTGCGATGGACGTTCGAATCTCTGGTTTGATTGTTGAAATTATCGTTCGAATGTTGTTCAAAACCTCAGTTCTTGAAGGTATTTAAATATCGATGGTAATTCTGGACTTTTGAAATGCACCACATAAATGAACCAGATTAAACGCTGACAGACGCGTTGTACTATCAAAGGATTTTTAAAAGACCTTTCGTAATTCGAGTTTTGTCATTCGAAGTCCATACAGCGTCTTTGTGATCAAAGGATAAAACTAAGTAAATAATTCTACGTACAAAAAATGTAGGGTTCATACTGTGATTTGATAAAATTCTGCAAGGTCCGTTCGAGTTCTTGGATACTTTCGCCGACTTTGAATAAAATTCGAAACGATTCGAGACCCAATAAGGGAAACTTGGATGATCTCGTAATATATGCTAATTAAAATAAAATAACTAAATGAAATATAGCGAATCCTATCTATAACGCAATCGTTATTAAATCATCTTTCGGCTCGAGACTTCTAATTTCAAGAAATAGAAAGAATAATCACCGAACAAGTAATACGAAATCATCCAAGTTTTTCGATCTCCATCGCTACTTAGAACCGAATGAACATTTCCAGAGACTGATATATCCGTTTCACTTTAGTTCTTAGGTATTACATTAGGCGCACATCGAGTGCAGGATGACGCAGCGCAGGATTTTGTAAAGGATTTATCTATGCTTCACTAACCGTTACTATGGGTGACATACTAATTAGCTATACTATTTTAAATGACGTAGTTCGAGTGTCTGTCCTTAAAAATGAAGCAGAAACACCATTTCAATGTGCTGTTTTGCGTCACTCTGTACTCGCATACACATATACTAGATAAATTAGTTCTTAGTCACCGTGTCAGATTTGTCGCGAGTCGAAAAAAGACTGACAACCTTCTTTCACCCTAATCCTACCAGGATGTGACTTTGCATCACATATCAAGTTTGAGTAACCGTAGAGTCTCCAAAGAAATGTACATACCTTCCATATTTGATCCATTTTATAATGTAGTAATAAATGACTAGTAAAATATTGACTAGTAAATATCCATTTTATAATGTAGTAATAAATGACTAGTAATAATGACTAGTAAAATTATGACTTAGTAAAATATTAGTACCCTGCATACATCCTCGCTACAGTTTCTCAAACTCGATATGCGATCCAACGTCCAGCCGTGTCTCGGTAGGATTAGGATGTTTATTTAATTGTTTAATTACAACACTTATTCTCTAATTTGCTCAGGAACACCTCCGCATCCATAGCGGTGAAAAGCCATTCCAATGCAACAACTGCGGGAAACGTTTCTCTCATTCGGGGTCGTACTCGAGTCACATGACGGCCAAGAAGTGCTTGATCGTGAACTTGAAGAAGCCCAGGCACACAAACGTGAGCAACGTCGAACGCGGCCCGAAGAAGGCGCAACAATCCCTGCCGCCAGGACGACGCGAGGTCGACCTGCTCGCGGCGAATAATAACACTTTCCTCCCTATTCTGCCAAAGCTTTCACCCTCGGACTATCAGGAGATACAACGAGAAGGAGCGGGTGAGAGCCGATAACGTTTACATTCGTTAGTTTTCTGCGAACGTCGAGCACGATTTTACAACGATTGATCATTTACAAGGAATTAGGATGTACATTGAACATCTGAGAAGTTTTTCATGGATTTATTAGTTACATAATGGCCACCAAAAAAAAATATCTTGACATCGCATGCAGGCCACAGTAGAATCCTGTACATTTCTTTTTCTATAGGGTTGTGTCTTCAGGGAAAACAAAAGCTAGAACTTGTATCTTGTATCGTTCAGGGTCATTTTGCCAATTAATATGACGGTTCTGAACAAGTTTACACTGTGATGATACGATAGATAGCACACATGTGGGTATAATTGGCTCAAGCGGTAGTACATTAATTGGCGAAACGGCCTTGCATGATTTACTTTTGTCTCACCTGAGGACACAAGCAACAAAGTACAGAATTTCATTAAAAAAAAATATAACAGAGCCTCAAGAGTGCTCGGAGACGTTCACCTAATAAGGAAGTCTCCTTCGCTCCTGGCTTCTTCAAGTCCTAACCAAGATTCAAGATTAGATCGACGGGTTGCTTTATCACAATTCTAATTTATAATCATTGTAGTCTAAGCAAGTTTTATTACAACGTTCTCGACCTCATGTTTTGGATCCTATTCAGCATTTGAAGGGAAATAGTATAGAGATCGTTTTTTCTATTTACACCGAAGAGTATCCAAAACCTTTGGTCGAAAACGCTCCAGCCTGCAAGGAACTGACGCCCCAGGAAACATGTTTCTGTCAGTAGATCCGCGAATCGGAGAGATCCGCAATGTAGAAAGCAACCTGGTTCCAGGTATTTACGACATGCCGACCCTTCTGCCTCAAGTGATGGGCTTCGGTAGTTACTTTCTACAAGCGTCCCTCGGCAAAATCCTGAATCAGCTACATTCCAAGAGATTGGACGAGGTAGCCGAGCAATTTGAATCTCATCGAGAGCTTACGAGCCCGTCTCGGGACTCCGAAGGAACGGAGGGCACGGAGGGCAAAGAGTCTCCAGCGCCTAGCGATCCTCAGGGTCTAGACGCGGTGCGACGGATCCTGGAAACGGTGAACACCTCAGTGACCAAGCAACTGTTAGAGGCGAGCGTACGGAAGCTATCCACTTCACCGGCCACAACGAAACGGGAGTTTGAGGAGGATTATCAAGTAAGCGGTCCAACAAACTTGGTTTATTTAAAGTAGACTGTACGATAGGTGTAAGGAAAACACACATTGGCACGGTATTCTCATCTCTAATCGCATAATGAATTATTGTTATTATCGCGCAGGATCAAGATAGCGAGATGTCTAGCGAGATGGCGCACTGTCCAGACTGGTCAGCGGCAGACCAATACGATTCCCAGAGCGAAGGTTTGGCGGCGAAGCTGGAGGACGTGAATCAGCCGACCGCGAAATCAGGCTGCAAAAGGAAAATGGAGGACAGCTCGGAAGTGGACTCCGAGGACGAGGAGGATGGCTCGCAGACGCACAACGATAACGGAAGGAGAGTGAGAGCCAGGTCGTTGATAGACGACGAGCAATTGGCTGTCCTGAAAGGGTACTACGCCATTAATCCCCGACCCAAGAAAGAAGAGATCATCATGATCGCGAATTACATCAATTTTCCCACTCGTGTCGTTCAGGTAAATTGTAGCTGGGATTGTTTGTGATTACGCATTATTATATTTATTATAAAAGGGAGTGATTCTACGTTTAAAATCCATTAATACGTATATCCGAAAATACGTATATCATTTTGTGTTATCCAGAGGAACATTAGAAATCTAAAGAAAATAGTGATATACCTAGTTTATTTCTTTATTTCTAATTAGAGATCAATGTCGTTAGGTTTGGTTCCAAAATTCCCGGGCGAGGGATCGACGAGAATCGAAGATACCAGCCTTGGTACCGTTGGCTAATCCAGTCAGTCAAACCGCCATCGAGCAACCACTTGATTTGTCGAAGAAAGAAGCGCTCACGCAGTCAACGTGCAAGGACAACGACACCGGTATCCCTGCCAAGGTCGCGTCGACGCCTCCACGCGAACAGAAGCCCGATAATCCGGAGACGGACGACCTGGAGGACTCGCCTCTTGTTATAGATGAAGAAACCACCGACTCGACGGAAGTAAAACGCGTAGTTCCTGTCGCGAGCAAAACTGTTCCAAAGGTAATGACGAGTCTTCATCTTTAGTCATCTTTAGTCGTCATCCACCGTGTCGCTCGAATAGAGGTGAAGTACGAAGATGAGCAATATTCTTGAAAAATTCTTTTTAATTTCTTCTAGTAATGTAACCTCTTTAACGAGCTCACAGAGGATGAACAAGTTTGACGGAATATTCTGGTGTTTCCAGCTCTACTTTACACATGTTTCATTGTTTCTGCAGAGTCAACCTCAAGCAAACGTGAAGAACGAAAGCGAAACCGCGAGTCAACCGGAGGTTCCACCGGCGGCAGATATTGAACAGGGTGTCTACTTCTGCGATCGGTGTGACAAGACATTCTCCAAGCACAGTTCCCTAGCTAGACACAAATACGAACATTCCGGTACGTATCAAGGTGATTTTGATCCTCTTAACTCAGTATTTCTCGAGCTATGTAATTTGGACAGCGATTAAAATGACACGATCACTCTATCGAATGATTAGTACCGTGAACATGAGTTACAGATATCGTATGAATTTCCACAGGGCAAAGGCCGTACAAATGCGTGGAGTGCCCAAGGGCGTTCAAGCACAAGCATCACCTGACCGAACACAAGCGACTACACAGCGGCGAAAAGCCCTTCCAGTGCTCCAAGTGCCTAAAGCGCTTCTCTCACTCCGGCTCCTACAGCCAGCACATGAATCATCGTTACTCTTACTGCAAGCCGTATAGAGAATAGAAGAAGTATTCCGCTAGTTGAAAACCAAGACTCGTTGGGCTTAAGTTAAGTATGTGGCACGGTCCTTTTCACTTCCACGACAGGACTCAGCATTTAAGTTCGAAGAAATATATACCTCGCGTTCTGACGCAGGAACACGATTACAGGGGATTGGGGAGGAAGGGAGGGAGGGGGGGGGGGTGAAATATAGCGATCTAGTGCAGGGGTCGTCAAACTACGAGTCACATTTTATTCGCAATTCCAGCGACTACATCCAAGATACCATACTTGAAATAATCAGTATCCTTTAGAGACGTTAGGATGCCTTTGTAAATAAAGGTAAGATAGATCTTCTACAATTCATTTTTAATGTGCTAGTCGATACAAATTGGTGTAAAATATTTTTTTTATTCCAATCTTTTGATTACAAACAAAAAATTCTGTTACTCAAAAAGCTATTCAAGTTATACGCTTGAACGAAAAACGTTATACGCCTACAAACTAATACAGTAAAATTTGCTGTCAAACGTGAAACAACGTTATTTTTTACTATTAATTTTATCGAGGAACTATGCTTCGTCTTTATAATCGATTGGTTTTCAAAGCTATTAACTACTTAACATTAACCCTCTTGGCCCTCAAAAGCCGCCATTTTGATTATTCGGACTTCCCAAAAGAAATTTGACGATCCCTGATCTAGGGGATGGTTAGACAAAGAAAGAGCGGAAGTTCGACGAATCCGCGAGGATCTGTCATTGCGTTCCACGCAGTGACAATGAGAAATTAGCCAAAGCCTAAAGTAATATATTTAGCTGGACGCACGAAGCCACGGAAACGGAACACCGGGTGGACGATGCGAAGATGGCGGCCAAGAACGCGCGTTTGAGAAGACAAAGAGCGAAAGACAAGACATCGTTCCTTCTCAAATCCGTTCTCGGCGTCGAGAAATGAAACGAAAAAAACGAAAAGAAATGAAACAAAAGAATAAAAAAAAAAATCGCGGCGACCTCAAGGTCGACGAGTATAAAACCAAACAATACGCAACAGTACCAAAAATGCATAATGCAATAATCTATTATATATTATATATAATATACATAATATTTTAGTATTTTTATTAACAAGATTATTATATATACCATGACAATAATAAGGAAACTAATTAACGTACAAATTTGTTAGCCACGTTCGCACGGGGCACGCGATATATTCATTCGCGGCGCGCAAATAGGCGAAGGGATGTATAAAAGCGATATAAACGGAGTTCGTTTGAAGAGTTTGCAATCGAATGTTCGATGAGAAACTAGCCGAAACATTTCTCTCCACACACATATATATATATATATATATATATTATATATATATATACGATGTATGGAAAAACTTGTCTAGAAAATAGCGAGACTACGTTTCGGGATATGTTTAACGAATTCGATAATAGCCAGCCTTACAGTAAAGAAAGGAGTGAACGAAGGAAAGAAAATGAAAAATACTTACCGGTTAAACGTACTTTTTCTTTTGCAGAAATCGATCGATCGAAATTCTCTTATTTCTGAATTTTTCTTTTTACTTTCGTAACGTCCAAAGAAACACAAATAGTAAGAAAAAATAATAGAGCAGAATGTAGAACTATGAGATCCCTATTTTCGTTTTACACTTATCTTTGTAGAATTTCTTTGTTTTTCTGAGGAAAGTGGAGATCTGGCAATGTCAAACTTGGATAGCAGAATGAAATAGTATTACTTTACAGATAGACAAATTATTTTCACATATATGCTCATATGTGGCACAAGAAGCAATGGACTCACAGTTCATTGCAACGTTATGTTATCGTAATGTTTTTTAAATTATTGAACAGCTATCTATCCAATACCCAAAACCGTGGTATTTCACATTACTATACTCTCTCTCTCATGTTTCTACCTTCTTTTCTATGAGAGCACACACTGCAATTAGATACGAACAAGTATGACGGTAAAAATTCGAACTGATCGAAGCACCGAATGGAGAATGCATTTGAATTAAATACACTAACCAAGAGCTTAAACGCAAATTCCATTGAGAACGAAAAAGGATCTGAAATCGCTAATTGTCCGGGCGTCTTTCGCGATCGAGTGGTTTTTTCGCTTGATCGAAACAAGGCTCGGCCGAGTTACGATTATACGTAGCGTTTAGATGTTTCTGGGCCTTATGTGTCGGTGATCGATGCCATAAGAGTGTCTTTCGATCATTGTGTACTTACTTCGAATTCCGAGTCGATGCATCGTCGGCATTCCCAATATCGTAACACGTGTTACGCGAGAGATTCAAGTTTTAGTTTAAACTCTAATTTATAGTAGCTCTTACTATAGTGGCATAATTTCAATTGTGGAGCACCGACTCTAAAATATAAAAGTAGTAACATTCGAAAGAAAATTTTTCTTTTGTTAATAAGCTCCAATCATTCAAATTGTTTCTGAACACTTTTGAGTAAGACACTCTGTGTGTTATATCGAGAACATAACTGCTTAAATTAATGAATTTACTCAACGAATAACTTATAATCTGCACAAGGTGTTCCTAATGCAAGGTACTAATAATATCAATACCCTGTATAATTTTTTACAAGTGCGATACAAAAATAATTATACAGTGAAAGTACCAAAGTTATATATATATATATATATTGGAATATTTCCACCGTTAGATGTCTGTTGCTAACAATCCTAACAAAGAGCATTATGTCAGCAGTTAAACCTGGCGTTTAACGTCGTTCTCTTATTTAACATTTGTTACTCCTTTTGCAATGGTAATTTGTGTACAATATTTTTTTGTTACAAGTGACACTGATCTCCTTTAATAGTTCCACTTTACACTCGAGTAAAGAATGATATATTAATTATTTAATAATGCCTATTGAATGAATTCAGTGTGTAACACGAGATAGTCTATAAATTGAAAGACTATGAAATATACTCTGCAATTGAATCTTCGCGTATCATCGTTTACGACTAGAGAGAAAAAGAGTGGTGCGTCTTAAAAAAAAAAAGAACAAGCATGCCTTAGACATTCCGTGAGAAAATCGATTCGCGTCGACGCTATCCGTGCCCCAATTCTTTTTTTTTTTTTTTTTTATTTATTCGTAGCTCTCGAAGAGTCATCACGGCCTCTCGTACTTTCCGTCTAGCTCGCTGCATCCGTCGTGTTCGAAGAAGGGGGGGGACGGAATCAGCGAGCTCGTGAATTTATTATTCCGACGCACGAAAGAGAATGGCATCGAGAACCTCGCAATAAACACCAAAACAAACCAAAGAAAAGCAAAACAAAAGCAAGAAAAAACGAAAAGAAAGATCCCTTCACCGAGATCCGGGCCCCGATCGTAAACTCTAAGTATAATATTAAATGCTTCCAATACTGTACTATTAAAAATTTATTATTACGACATTTTTATGATTTTATTCGTTCGGACGCGTAGGTAAGCGGTATATATATAATATATATATAATCTACAGATCGATAATACTCGAGAATGTATTTTATAACGGTTTATGCCTCTTTTTATTTACACGTACCACGAGTGACAAGTGATATATATATTATATTATATTATATATATTGTTATTGATAATGATCGATGAAAAAAAAAAGAAGACGAAGGAAACGACGACTTATATACGGGGGATACAAAACGATAGATCTTGTACGTCGCGCTAAAAAAAAAAAAAAGAAAAAAAAAGAAAAAGAAAACTAGTGTCGTGTTCGGCCGAGCGGGGCGCCACCGTTGCATTTCCTCCGCGTCTAGAAGCTCCGGTTATCCGCGACAGGCATCGTGTCCGTACTACGAAAATGGGAAATCCCAAGATATGATGCTTAATAATACTCATTTATTATAGTGTTAATAGTTAAGAAATATATTTTTATATTATTATAATATTACGACACGATATAGTACTAATCGATCGCCGCGGATCCGTGAAACCGCGATCAAATCTGTTCCTCGGCTGGTACAGACAACGGGAGAATCGAATATTTTTTATTTCCTAGTTTCGAGCCTCGATCATAACCTACAACGTTCCTGTGCAATCGCTTTGTTATTTTTCTTCGTTGTTTTTCTCTGCAATTATGTTTTCTTCGCACTTGTTTTCCTTTTTTTTTTTCTATTATTATTATTATTATTATGATTATTATTATCATTAACGTTATTATTTATATATCTATTTCGATCGCTTTTAATACCAGTTCACCGTCATTCCTGAAACTTTTTCTACGGTTTTCGTAATAGCAATCTACCCGCGCAATCAGTTTCGACGATTCAAAGTGATCATCCTTGGTTTACGTTCGCGAAGAAGATAATAAAAGATAAAGCCTCGATTCTGTACTTTCGAATACTTTCACGACCAACGGGTTTAGGACATCAGGAAAGGAAAAGCAGGAAACTTACGAAGACAATATTACATACGTATAAGTGACTAAACGAAGAATAAAAGAAAAAATATATATATATATAAATACATGAATATATAAATATAAATATAGATCTATAAAGATAGAAATATTTGCTCTGATTCGGGAGTATTTGCAAACCTGCTCGCCTCGATGTATGTATGTACGTATTAAAATAAAATAACACAGACTACTACAGCGTAATTTTGCCAGGCTTTCGCGCATCGGCATCGGTTATGTCTCCGTTACTTCCTACACTAATTACACGAGAACTAAAGGGAATAAAAGTAAATAAAATAGATTAAATACTCGTAAAGAAAAAGAAAAAAAAAATAAGCAACACGAGAAAGCGAGGAGAGAAATACGAAAAAAAAAGATGAAAAAAAAATTGTTAATGATTGTTGATGCAACGATTTAAAAATGAGCACCGTACGATGCCTTCCGTGAACGACCGAGCTTGCCTAGTTACCGAGATAAAATAACAATTCGATGATTCGATCTCGAAATGAATTCTCTCGTCGAAAGTATACATTACTCCCGCGATGCTTCTTTCAAGCCGCCAAATATATTCCCTCTATCGTTGTTTGTTTGCTGGACGTATAAATATAAAATAGAATCAAATAGCGAAAGCGATGCAAAAGTAATCATATTACGATTGACGTAACGAGAAAATTATTATAATTTTCCTCTCGTTCCCCCTGTCATCATGAATTTAATTTTTAATTATTCCGTGTAAACGACGAATTGTGATTTTTATCTGGGCTCAAAGCACGCGGGAGTAATAATTATGTTCGCTTTAAGCTGTACTCGACGAACACTGGTGGTTATGCTACGAGCTTTCCATGACTACGTTACACGAGCAGCGTCGAATTAAGATTTCGTAGATCCCTAGGCTACAGGTATTGTCAGTTTCCAATAATATTAAAAACAAAAAAATGAATTAAATATTTTGTACAGAATAAAAATAATTTTTTTTTTTCAAATAATTTAAAAATATAATGTAAAAATTTGACACGAAACATCCGGTGAGTGATCCGTTTCCACTGCAAGATAAAGTCACAACGTGATAACAAATTTTTTTTCATTATCTATTTACGCTATTTTGTGTACCGACAAGTATGACACAAAACTGTTCGTAAAGTTGTGACTTCGTATCGCGTGAAAACGAATTATAACCCCTGGAAACCTCCTTATGGGAGTCAACTTGGGCCGTAGTCCCCTAAAGTCCCATCTCTTAATTCGGCTCTGTATATAAGCACCAGAATTGTGCGTGTGTGCGTGTAAAAAAAAAAAACGTATGCGTGTATATGCGTGGTATGTGCAGAAAGAAAATACTCGGAGAAATACGGCAGGACAATAATAATACCGTTTCGTTTAGAGGTTAGAAAGCGTAAGCATTATACAATAGTACATGTACATTGTAATTGTAAATGAATAAATTGCCAAATGCAGCCTGGCAACAGAGACGGGCAAAGTTCTTGTTTGAATAACAATTTTTAATAACGGACAAAGGGTGGTGCAACCTATTGTCCTTTGTTCGTTGGATAAATACTCGAATTTGAATGATATAAATACTATGAATATGGGATTATAAATATTGCAAAGTACGATTATAATTAATTTCACTTTTGGCGAATAGGAACTCATCAGTGCAACTGTTCGATCGAATAAAGGTTGAGAATAAATCGCTGCGCTGTGTTTTTATTCGTCATTTATTATTCGAATGAAACGTTGCCCATCTCTGGCTAGCTCACGTGTATACATACACGCGTGCGTGTGTGTGTGTACGCGTGTGTACACAGTACAGCATGTATGTACATAAATAATACATTCGTAAGGCTACATTTAGTCGCCAGGAATAGCGATGCGAATGTGTTGTAACGGCGAAGCGTAAAATATGCTGTAGATATTCGAGAGTGAACGGTGGGGGGGAAAAAAATGAAAACCGGAAGTTCTAGGCTGCGTGGTGGATGCAGTGCCTTCTCCGGGTGAAACGATCTCGTTATCGAAGTAAACGATTGCAGACAACTCGGTAATTTGTACGATAACGCGACGATCGTGTAAATTCTTTTAATGGCGTGCAATTTAAACGAGGATTTAAATTGTTAATTCTCGATAATTCGGTTCGAAAATTGTTTGCTGTAATTTTCATAATTTGTAATTTCTTGCTACGATAACGCAGGGAAAATTTATATTTATTATTCGATGAATTGAATATGTGTAATATGAGTTTGCCTAATTTGAAATGCATTTTGGAACCTTTTCGGGGAAGGGACACGTTCTTGCGATTAGATCACCGATAATTGTTATAAAAGTACGTTATTCTAGTGTAAAACGATCCTTTTTAAAATTCGATCGTTCTCGATGGGCATTCGACGTAGAAAAAAAAAGAAAAAAAGATATATATATATATAAATAAATATATTGTAATGGAAGAGTCGTTGAAAGGATCGAATACTGCACGCACCATGCGGCCAACTTTCGAAGCACGAATCACTGAATTCGGCTCGAATGGTAACGAGCCGAGCCTGTTACACTGCGGAAAGAAGCAGAAAAGCAAAAAAGGGAAAGAAATTAAAATAATGTATTGTGACGAAGTTCCATCCATAATAAATAAATGAAAATATTATACAGTTAGGCCGACTTTTCCGCCAGTTCGTGCCTTTTTTCTGCAGGGAGAGAGATTGCAGTTTTGGAATCGATCTGAATGTATGCTAATGTTGTACTACTTACCCGTCTATTTGATAGGAAGCAGACGCAGGGAAAGGGGGAGAGAAAGAACGAGCAAAGTAAGCCAAACTTCGATGTAGAGTAACGCGAAACGGGCGGATTGAAAGAAAGGATTGAGAATCAAGTGTGTCTTGTGTAATATTCACGATGAACGTTACGAGCACGCTGATTCTTTCGAATAACGAGAGTAAACGAGTAAGGTAATCGATGAAACGAAAGGAAAAGAAAAGAGGTGCGAGATGAACTGTAAGCAGAATAACCGAGTGACACAAATAATGAAGGGAGAACGTGTAGCGTGAAAGGAGAGAAAAAAAAATGAACGCGTGTATATGCGTGAAAGGTGGAACGAAAGGGAGAGAGAGAAAGAGAGAGAATTCTAGCAATTGTTGAACGTTCATTAAATTGTCCTCGTTTCACGATGTAATAAAAGCTATTTTACTTTGACATCGATGTTGAATTTCCTTGATTGGCACGCTTCTAACTCCTTGGACCGCGTGACGCAACGATTGGCAACCGATTAATGCGAGTTCGCAAGACCCTTTATGTTTCTGTGCAATCATATGTACGGCACGACGTGCGGCAATCGATATGTTAATTTTTCGGCTCTCGTTTTATTTTTATTTAACTTTGTATCTTCGACATTATATTGTATTTACATAAAAATATAAATTTTATATAATCTAGACGGTTTGCAGAGACTAGGCTTTCCTTTTCATTCCGCGCAACACGACAGTGTATCGAACTTCGCTATGCAGATCGAGAAGTTTTTCTTTCAATTTATATTTGCAATCGTACTTACATTCTGGGAACTATTTCTAAATAACTAAATTAATTCATACGGATTGTTTAATTTACAAAGATAAAGGAACATTTATGAGACTTCAATTTTTTTTTAAACTCAATCGAAATTGAATTTTATTGATAAACTTTACACACTGCTTAATGTAATTCCTTTTATAAATAAATAACAGATTTATAATTTCTTCTGTAGCTTGTCATATACTATACATGGACGAATAAAATAGTTTCCTTTAAAATTAGGATTACTTTACATAGCAAGTTTTAGACACTGAATATCTACAGCATCCCCTTTATATCTATTCAGTTGGCTTAACAGATGTAATTTTGGTTGCTCACAATGAATTGTATGCAATTCATATGCACTGCATATGTTTAATAGTATAGGTTCCTGTAAACTTTTTACAGGGTTTTTTGTAATTGCACTTTCATATAAGTGTACTGCTGCTTTCAATTGGCCTGTATATAAAAGGCAAACAGCCATGTTATTAGTTAACACGACATTCGAAGGATCCATTGTAGCTGCAGCTTTGAAGCATGTATACGCATCTTGAAAGGCATTCTGTGCTACTGCCATTAATCCTCTGTTCATCAACTCTCTGACGCTTAAACCACTGTCCTGTTTCTTTTGCGTGATAAGTAATTTCTCTGCTGCTGAAACATCTCCCAAAAATAAACGTAACCTCCCTATACTCGATTTTAGAGCATCTAATTCTTCGGCAGTCCAATCGGGAAATTCGCATAGTTTTTCTAAAATGTCTATAGCCAGGACATAATTCTTCGTGCTGACTGCACAATTAGCAACAGATATAAGGACTCTTAATTTTCTGCCTTTCCATAGTCGCAAAGCATCTCTTTGCTCGGCCGCGTTAACTTTAATACGAGATCCATCTCCACAGAGTCCAGCATTAAAATTAGCTATTATTTGATTTACTGTGGCTAGAACCTTAAATAAATTATCCAGTGCTTGCTTTGGTTTCTTGCAATACAATGGTATTTCAGCTAAAAGTAATCTAAAGGAAAAGGAAGCCATAGAACCTGGCCTAGTACCATAAAGTTCAGGATAAAATGTAAAGTACATATCAGGCTTGTCTAAATTACCAAATGGTTTCGATTCGTTCTCTAATACATCTACTTGCCTAAGTTTAGTCAGTAAAGCAAGCCTTGTGAACCATAATTGCAAAGAATGCGGGGTATGCTTGCTCGGCTGGTTTATCTTGCCATATCCTTGAGCATATACAGCTAAAAGTCTTCCTGATAAATTAATTGCTGCTTTGTAACAGCCAGCCTGTATTAAGTTTCTCAAGCCACGTTCATCCTGTGTTACATCGGATGCAGTAAGTACATTCCTGTGAATATTTTCATCTTCACCCAGAAAATGAATGGCAGTACTTTTTATTAAATCAGGCATGTCTCCTTGTATTGCCAGTCCTGGCATTGTTAAGTTATCTCTGTCGAGGGAATTAGATCCAGTAGTCGACGTAGCGATACTCCGTAAGACTTTTCGTGTCTGTTCGGATGGTATCCAGATATCTTTGTGCATATCGTTCATGGCACTATGATCGGGTCGCTCGTTACCACTGGAACGATTAGTCATTAATTCGAAATCTGGAATTCTGCTCACAGAACCACCTTGTACTTCAAAAAAATCTTGTTTCTTCGGTGAAACGATCTCGTCGAATATCGTACGGGACGCATTCTCGAAATAACGACTGATATCGGCCTCCGTCTCTTTCATAACCTCTCCAGAAATTTCAGATTTCAGTTTCGTTGATGTTTCATCACTTTCAGCCATTCTATATGTAACATTAAAAATCATTTGGTTTCGTTTGCTAACAATTTATTCATATAAATTTATGACTACATGTTAATTATTATAAACCTTACGTTATATGCAAACCTGGACGTCAACTGTCAAAATCAGATGGAGACATTTTGTCACAAGCTACGTACATATGTGATAGCAGTTTTATAGTACAGTTCAGAAAGCACAGGGTGCTTTCCAATTGGAATATCCCTAGAAACTTTCGTACACATGGCGACAAAAGTTGCGTTCCAATTACTCCAATTTGAGCCAAAGATGAGCGATATCGCGATATGCTTGTTTCGTTTCCTTCTTTGGAAAATGTTCAAAAGAGAAAACGAGACAAACATGTCAGCAAACTTCAGATTTATTCGAATCCTAGGGTTTTGCCCATCACTGGGTTTTTGACATGCGCAAAGTTGATCTATCTCGCAACATGTTTCCTGATGTTTCCATTTCCAGCAGTTTCCAGAAGCAGTTGGAAACAGTTCACATAGTTTCATACAGTTTCACAGTCAATCACAAACCATAACAGTAGATCAACCTAGATCAACCGTGATACATCAAAGCAAAGGTAGATTTTTCACCGTATTTATACCGTAATTTAAAATCAAAATTGAGTTGATTCCGGCTAGTTAGGACACGTGGGAACTGTATATTTAATACCGAAGTTGGAAACAGACAAATAAGTGATGTGACGTTAATAATACAGTGGATTTTATTATATATTATTTATTTACTATTATCTACAAAGTATTTGAATTAACATACCATTTAATTGTTATCTCTATATGATTGAATTAATTCATGTTTTTGTTCAGATTTGTATACAATGACACATCAGTGCAATTGTGGAGAAACACACAACGAAGGAGAGTTGGGTTTACAATATAATTTAAATACAAAAATTGATATAGAAAATGTAGAGTGTTTAAACGAATACCGGGATGGTAGTGGTGCTACTGTATTTAAACCATGGGAAGAGAGATTAGATAGAAATAAAGTAAGTACCATATTTGTGCAAGTTGGTTTTCTATTAAATTTAGCCTTTCTGTACCATATATAAGTATAATTTCTACATTCTATCTAATCTTTTCTTTTTTTTCAGTATGTGGAAAGTGATATGGATAATGAACTTCTATTTAATATTCCGTATGTTTCCATATTTTAAACTGTATTTTCAAAGAAGTAAATATAATGTTCATTTCTCTTCAGTTTTACAGGAAATATAAAATTAAAAGGCCTCATTGTTATTGGAGGTGAAGATGATTTTCATCCAGATAAAGTAAAATTGTAAGTATTTCTTGGTCTTTAGTTTCAGAATACCAGAAACAAGGTTTTGTACAAGCATAAAATATTCTTCACTTTTTAATCAAATATCGAGTAAAATATTTTTTTCATAGATTTAAAAACAGACCTTTCATGACATTGGATGATGCAGCTACAACATCTGAGCAAGAATTTGAATTATGTGTTGATACACATGGAATACATGAATATTCTCTTAAGTATGTATATATGTATATATATGGTATTACATTACTTATTGAACTGTGCAAAGTTTTGATACGATATAGAGATTTACTGATCTTATTAAACTTTTGTTTGATATTCCAGAGTAGTCAAATTTTCATCAGTACATCACTTAAGTTTATATTTTACTGGAAGAGAAGGAGGAGACAAAATTAAAATTTATTATATTGGTTTAAGAGGGGAATGGTCCCCTGGTCATAAACATGGTGTCACTATCTGTACTTACGAATCACGACCACAGATACACGACCATCTACAGGATGTTGATCACGATGATATTGATAGAGCAATTACTTAATTTTGTGATGATAAACAAAATCTGAACTGTGTTACGAAATAAAGTATTTAAAAAATCCAATAAATAAATACTTATATTGAAATGAACAACTGTTTAATTTAATTAATAAAACATATTACTTACACACATACATGTACCGGTACTCTTTTAAAGCTACAGTACGGGCTTAGCAACCCCGAGGTACCCGAGCTAGAGGGGGGCCATTGGGTCCCCACAGAGATGAGAAGTTATTTCTTTTGTCATAGTTTGATTCCTTCCGCCATTCTATGTAAAAAAGTATCAGGGCAAAATGGTAAAAAGATAGCCTCGAAGATCTTTCTCCGTACGTGTGACGTCACACGCAGCGACCCTGATTCTGTAAAGGACGGAACATCCTTCTGTCTTCGTCGTATGCTTTCGGCTTCCCTGCTCGTGTAACACGAAGAAAACAATGAAACAAAACACCAAGCGGTTAGTGATCGATATTGATCACACACGCGAGCGATCGAATTTTATTTCTCATCGGGATAAACATCGAGAAACACGAGTTCAGTTCGACTCGGTTATATAAGGAGATTGTAAACAAAACAAAAAATTGAAGGAGAAAGTAAAGAAAGTTGAGGAACGAAATAAAAGAACCGATTCCTAATATTCGACGAATATTAGAAATAATAGTTTTCGACCGAATACTCTTGATCGTACAAGAGGAGGGAAATAAACACGAGGCAATAATTGTATTCGACAAGATCTCCCCTTCCCCTCCTTCTAAGCATTCATCAAAGAGATAATAACTTGGTGAACTGAAAGCGACTGAAAGTATCTGTCTACATCGAATCCAGTTCAGTATTCACGTACCAGCCGTCCAGCACGACAGTAGCATTCATAATGAGCGATCAAAGCAACAACACTGTGATCAATTTTGGAGCAGGACCGGCCAAACTTCCAGCTCAGGTATCGCGAAGAAATTATCACGTTTTCAAATTATATTTTTCTTTCTTGCAAAAACAATAACTTGTCGGTGTTAAATACAAATAATCTAATTTTTATGAATTTCAAACTAGTATTACAATTACGGGAATTATCGAAACGAAATAAAATAAAAATCAATCAATGATTTCCTGTCTCTTTCTTCCTGGTAATAAAATACTTTGATTGGCGTTTTCACTTTAATTAAAGAATACTATTCGTGTTAAATAATATAATTGATAGAAGCTGTTTCGTACTCTTCACACGATACTTGAAGTTGTAAGATATTTTTTAAAATTTCGAAAAATAAATATTAAGAATTAGATAAGCTTCCGCTAGAATATCCACGTTAGAAAATTTGTAACATATTTCGTTTCAGTGCGACAGCTTAGGATTAGCCAAATAATTTGAATGATAATATACATTAATACAACATTGTTTGCTTGAAGGTCATTCATTCATTCATTCCACTATCGCACATGCCTCTTATTAACGTCTGCGTCAATTTGACGAATATCGAATCGAGTATCATCACATCTAATACTTTGCCCGTTTCAAAAAATTAATTTATTATTTATTATTTGATATTAATTTATAAATTTTCGAAAACTATCGAAAACATTTTCCAAATAAAGTAAACCGGGGTTGTCCGTTTACGATTTGAGGAACTACTTCGTTATTTTTCCGAAAGGTAGAATCTTTTCGTTCTTCGATGTTGAAATATAAGCGTATTGCTAAAAAGTAAAATTACATTCGTCGATCGCAAATATCGATAACGATAACTTTTCTTATAGGTGTTGAAAGATGTGCAAAGGGAATTGCTTGCATACAGTAATACTCAAGTTAGTATTTTAGAGCTGAGTCATAGATCAAATGACTTCAAAAATGTTATCGAGGATGCTCAAGCAACGTTGCGAAAAATATTGTAAGTTAGTATGAAAAATGAAAAAAAAAAAAAAAAGGGAACAGAACAGAAATTAAATCTTACCAAAAATTAGACTTAAGATATAACTTATTTCCATCGATTTTAAATAAACAGATTGTACTATTTATTTGGAGTTATGCGAGTTATGTAAATGTTTCAGACACATTCCCGAGAATTACAAAATTCTGTTTATGCAAGGAGGAGGAACAGGGCTATTTGCGGCTGTTCCTTTAAATATGATGACAACTGGCACCGCGGACTACGTAGTGACTGGTAAATTCTGAGTCCTCTATGTCGGAATTTTTACGCTCTTTATCCTCGAATTAAAGCAAAATTAGATATCGTCACGTTAATATTAAGGGTACTTACGTTAACGAAAAATAAATCTTTGAGGCTCATGGTCGGCCAAGGCAGCGAAAGAGGCAGCAAAGTATGGGAAAGTGAACTTGGTTTTGCCAAAAACGACGAAATATACCGAGGTTCCCGATCCCTCTACTTGGAACTTGGACCCAAATGCATCTTACGTTTATTACTGTGCTAATGAGACAGTTCACGGTAAAGATATAATAAAATTAAAGTAGAACGCATAGATGACTATCAGTTCAGGGAAAATTGTGGATAAAATTTATTGAATTCTTTAAGGTGTTGAATTCCATTATATTCCCGAGACAAACGGGGTACCACTCGTTGGCGATATGTCGTCGAATATCCTTACAAGATCTCTAGACATTTCGAAAGTACGTAAACGTTAGATTTGATAACGGTAAAAAGAAAACAAAAATGATGAAATAGTAAATTGCAACATGTTTCTTAGTTTGCAGTGATATTTGCCGGCGCTCAGAAAAATATTGGCCCAGCTGGTGTAACACTTGCGATAGTGCGAGATGATATTCTTGGTCATGCTATGAAGATCTGTCCAACAGTACTAGATTTTACAGTCATGGCAGCTGATAACTCCTTACACAATACACCGCCAGTATTTCAGTAAGCAATCTCGATATAAACACGTAATAATGATATAAGGGATCGTCGATCACTAAGATGTTAATAGTCATTATTTATATTTGAATACATAAAGATTCATACATAACTTGGAACTCGAAATAACTATTCAAATAGAAAATTTTGATGTATACGCATTATTTTTATGAACACTCATATTGTTTTTTAGGATATATGTGGTTGGGTTAGTTTTCAAATGGATTGAAGAACACGGCGGCGTTGAAGGAATGGAAAAAATGGCAATTGTAAAAAGCCAGAAGATATACAACGTGATCGATCAGTCGAAAGGCTTTTACTCGTGCCCGGTTAAGCCAGATGTACGGAGCCGAATGAACGTTCCATTTAGGATAGGAAGAGACGATGAGGAACTGGAAAAAAGGTTCTTATCTGGCGCAAGCGCACGTGGAATGCTTCAGTTGAAAGGTCACAGGTCAGTGCACCGTAGAATACATTTTATGCAGCAACGATTATCATTAATTTCCCAATCACATATAGATACAGTGAATTGGACTTTCACAAATCTGGAAAAATTTAATTACAGATCCGTAGGAGGAATTCGAGCGTCTTTGTACAATGCTGTTACTGTAGAAGAGGCACAGAAACTGGCAGAGTATATGCAATGGTTCTACCAAGAACATTCTAATAAATCTTAGAAAAATGATGTTTATTAACATTACAAATATACTTTATAAAAAATAATTTGTATATACATATAAGATGCATATTAGATGTATATACATATAAGATGCATATAACAATAAGATTTACTATTTTGTTACGTATATCTCATAATATCGTATCCCGCAATATTTTTTTTTCCCCTTAGGGGCTGTAGCTATATTTCATTGTAGCTACAGTATGGGTTTAGCGATTCCGAGGTACACCCGTTACTACAGGGGGCTACATAGTCAAAATATACAATATACATTTTTTTAAATATTTTTAGTAATTTTAAAATTTATTAAGGAATAAATCAATCACATTTCAGTATCGATGTATTTTTACATCCGCAATTTTCTCTATCTTGAGCTACTCGAGTAGCATATATTATATCAAGTTGTCTTTCTAGACTAAAATTAGTCTCACGACATCCATCTATTACAGCTTTGGCCCACTGTAAGAAATATTTTATTACAACAATGAACAGTGATTAGAAAAAAAGATAAAATGAATTCATATTTAAATCTCTGACAGTGATTATGTTAACAACAAATTTTTATTGGCACCTCTTTCAGTTTTGCATGAATTACCTTAAAATATTCTTTCACTCTTTCCGATGTCCAACCAATTGGTGTTGCTTTTTGAAGATCTCTTAAATTATATAATTTATCTGCTAATTTGACAAGTTTAGCTTTGTAACTCAAGTTATGAGCATGTTCTATTTGTAGTCTCTTACGCTCTGCTTTCGGTAAAGTTTTGTCATCAGTTACTTCTCTGACAATATTACAAACCTCGCTACCAAATTCGTTTTCGATCTCTTCAAATGTAGTATCTGTATCTTCTACTGTATCATGCAACAGAGCTGCCAAAATTACAGCTGGGTCGTGAATATTACCTTCTTGTATCAATATATTTGCAACACCTGGAACAATTTTCTTTTAAATTTTTTCTTTATATTTTACATTAAAATTAGCCTAGATAAAATTAGTTTATTTCTATCTTCTATCTCCATAGCTTGATTATTTACAAAGCCTACTTTAAAAGATCACAAACCTATGGGATGATTTATGTATGGTGTTTCTTTTGGATCTTTTCTTCTTTGATCTTTGTGTTTTATTGCTGCAAAATTAGTGCATTTTATTACCAGTGTTAATAATTCTGCATTGGGCAATTCTTTGATACAAGATTTACAAGGTCCGTGTACACTAAACGGATCATTGTTGACAGATTCTGCATGACTATTGTTTTCCATAATTGATTTTCTCAGTAATGCCAAAATTTGTCACCTCATTTTTCATTTATCCATTTTTAAATATCGCAGGGTTATTTAAGCGTTACATAAGTTATGAACTTTGATAAGTTCAGAGTTCATTCACATAATAAAGTCTGGATTTTTATTAATAAAGAAAAGATAATTGGCTGTATGTGATGTGTCAGCTGATGCTGATCATGCTGGTGTGCTTAGTTATTTTCGAAACTTCACGATAGAGGAGCTAACGTTGCACGAGGGCGGTGCATCAAAACTTTGGCTGACTACGAGCTCTAGGTCCTTGCTAGGGAAATTTCTTAGCGGAGAACGCCATCTTCCCATTAGGGGGAATGGTAGCGAGTTGTCGGTCCGGTTGCCATCTCGTAGGCGTAGGTAGGCCCCAAGTATGCGGCAACCCATACTGGACGGTGTGTCGGTTCGGTTGCCATCTCGTAGGCGTAGAGGTACCCCTACCATGCGGCAACCTATGCCAGCCGGTTTGTCGGTGCGGTTGGCATTTCGCAGGCGCAGGGAGGCCCCTAGTATGCGGCAACCGATAGCGGCCGGTTTGTCGGTTCGGTTGCCATCTCGTAGGCGCGATGGTACCCCTACCATGCGGCAACCTATGCAAGCCGGTTTGTCGGTGCGGTTGCCATCTCGTAGGCGCAGCACCTTTGCACCTACGAGATAAATGGATAAATGTTAGTATCGTAAGACCGTATTGGAAAGACTTAAATCTAACCGACATAAATTCCTACGAACTAGTCATAAGCTAGCCAATATGTGTAAATAAGTTTAAGCAGTATTACATACTACTTTAGTTTGGTACCTTTATACTATTATTAATTATAGTTGTATGAGACAATGTAACTCTTAGGGAAACATGTAAAATGATATCATTTTAAACGTAATTCTGCTAAACAGACCTGTACAAAGTTGAAGTCTTAATAAACAAATAACTAGATGGCTATCCATGTAAATACAAACTTTGTTTACTATTAGATTAATAATGCAAGCATTAAATTAACGTCCCGAGTTGTTTACATACACACGCACTTGTTTCGACTCCATTTCTCAACGGACGGTTTTCGAATGCTCGAATTTCCGACTTGAGTTATCTATACTCGGTGAGCTACACTAATACTGGAGCGCGCCCCTGTGAGTTATTTGTCTTTGTTGTACAGTTCCTTCTAAAAATGAAGTAACAAATTTCGAAATGCCGTTTTCTAGATCATGGACGTGATAATCTACGCTCTAGTTCGATCCTAGATTCTTAAGTTCATGTTTCAGATCACAGTGCAACGCCAAAGTTTTCGATCATGACGGTAAACGGTTTACTTTTAACAAACGACGCAATAGTACAGACCAGTGGCAGAAACTATAGAGTATTGGACCATTAGATTGTTTGAACGAAAATATATAAAACGAAAGGCACGTACAAAATATAATGATAAATATAAATGAATTGGGAATGAAAAAAGAATTCACGCCGAGAAATAAATGATAGATAATAAACATAATTTATCAAGAGATAAATGATAAATACCAATTAATCGAAAATGAAAGAATGGATTGCAATAAATAAAGTACAGAAAAGGTGGCTCATTGATAATTATAGGATAACTGATATCGTAGATAGAGACTGGATGCGAATATAGAGATATTTTTCTCTATCTTCTTTATTAGAAACGATAGCGTAAAAGTTTACTTTACTTATCTCTGTTAAATGAAATGTCCCTCGAAATTGATTTCGAACATTCTTAAAAATTCTGACCAATCACGAACAGTACCGGAAAAAAATCTTCAAAACTGGAAGAGGTAAGCACCAACACGGTAAAATCTAAGTATAGATCCAAGTACAGAGAATATCAAATCTGTTAGACACAAAGTTTCACTGAAATTCATTCACCTGTTTAGACGCGATCTTGTTATCAGTCATCCGCGTATATCCACGCAACGCATGTACATACGTACAATTTCCGAAATACGTTTCTTCCTAACAGTCAAAACGCGAGCCGTGGGATCTTAAAACGCTTAATGAACGTAAACGAAATTCGTTTCAATTACAATATCCAGTCCCACAAGAATAAGAAGTGTAAGAAAAATGTCGGTTTCGTATGATTTTCAGCGTTAGATACAACGAATGAAAATAATACAGTCGAGGTTCCCTGCAAGAAAGAGTGGAGGATACGAGTTTAAAATTGCCTATCAGTAGGTGTCGTTATCATTATCGAGGTGTGGCTTCGATATCGATGAAGGTACTCGGAACCAGGTTTTTCCATCAGTCGCCTCAGGTATATATAAGACCCCACGCCTAACTAAATGTTTGCTAGTGCTCTGATTGCCTTTCGTACGAAACTTATTTTCCGATGTCCACGCGGTTCTTGCGAGGACGTGAAACGTAAAACGTAAACCAGTGATAAAGAATATTTCACGTTTAAAGAATACACGTCTATAGAATACACGTTTAATGGCGTCACGGATGAGCTTTTTCGAGTGCCGGTGAAGTTAATCAGTGTGAACGTTAGAATTGATCTCGAAAGTTGCCCTTAATTATTGTCGAACAGGTATATAAATAAAAGAAAATTAAAACCTAGTATCACAACGATACGGGCATTACTTACCAGAAACACGGACTGTTATTTACAGTTTTTCTTAACTTACCGAGTATAATTGGAACGCGTTGATAAGAAAGCTGCGTTTTTAAGTAGCTATCTTTGGGATTCGAATCGGGCTACGTCGAAATTCGGGTCACTGAACGAAAGACCATTGCGTAATCGAGTAGGAAGTGATAAATGTTTCTGGATCGTTTTCTTTTTGCTATAGTAATTAAAAACGATTGTTCCTTGAAATAATAACGGTGTTTTCGAGTAGTGATTATTTAAATTACTTATGTTCGTATGGAATGCACAAGGTTGTAACCATAGAGATATTATAGATAGAGAAGGGGAGATACGTAATGATAAGTGTTGTACCCTATCTATTATCTGTGCCTTGATTAACGTGAACGTAAAATCTATATGTAATTATTAGACTGAAGATATTTATGCAAATATACATTTTTACAGATACCGATGAAGAATTTAAATAAAAGTGATACTTTATTTACTAAACAGTATAACGCATGTTTTATATATTGTATTTTTCCATTTATGTAACTTGGATTCATGTAAGCACTCGCTATAAACGCATAAACATTCGCAGTCTAATAATTATTAAAAGTACAAACAAATATAAAAATGCGCTGACAAAGAGAGATAAAGTACCGTGGTTGTCTATCTCTTTTTAGCTGTTGTATTCTATACAGGGTGTCCCAAAAGTCGGGGAGGAGCCGGAAATGGGGGATAGCTGAGACGATTCTGAACAACAATTTCCTTTGCAAAAATGTCGGATGAGGCTTCGTTAATGAGATATTAAGAGAAAACCCCGACCAATCAGAGCGCGCGTAGACCGTTGGAGCGGCCGCGGTAGCGAAGGCTACGCGCTAGGTCGATGCTTCGATGCACGTCGAGTCACTTGTTCGCGTACAAGCGCGGCCGCCAA